AAACACAGAACCCACAAACATAAATTAACAAGCAATACTGCAGCAACCAAAGACACCGACCACAGGGTATAAATACAGGTGAGCTGAGTAACTCTTAATCACACACAGCTGAGGGTATAATGGACCAATAATCAGAGCAAAGGGTGATGGAAACTGAAGTCCACAAGCACTGGGCAATGATCCGGGAGGAGTGCCCTCTGGTAGCTTTCCTGGGCACTCCAGCAGATGGCTGTGACAATTACAGCTGCCTGGAAACCTTAAATGGGGATTAGGTTTTAAGACTTTAGGTATTTATTTTGGTTCTAATGAATTTCAAAAATTGGATTGGGAGGGTATAGACGAAAAATTATGCACCCGACTGTCTAGGTGGAAATAGTTGCTAACCCAGTTGTCCTACAGGGGAAGAGTATTGGGGCCAGTTTTACTAAACGGTAAATTAGCGCGAGAGCGCAATTCCAAAACAGCGCCGATGGGAGGGAAAATTTCAGCGGGTGATTTACTAACAATGTGCAAATTAAAGGACACAGACGCAACATCTCATTTACATATTGACCAACGCAATATACCAAGTGCAGCGCAAATTAGCGTAGTCACAAATAAAGAATAAAGAAATAAAAAAGCCACAGTATATTGAAAAAATTAAGGGTTGCAAGAAGTTTTGATAGACCTGGTATTGCGTGACTCCTGGTTGAGGGTTCGAAGTCGTCTTTTATTTCCTGAAGCAAATTAAAAATAACATGGCTTGGCAAACTATATGTTCGGATAATGTGTTCTTCTGGCATTCCAAATAAACTAATATGTGTGGAAAAAATCCTCTCCCTTCTACCATGCGCTCTCTGTTCTCTGCGGTGCCTGTTGACACAGTATATTTACTTTTAAAAGACAGTGCATCTTTCCAATTGTATTCACATATATCTATGATGATTATTGGCTGTGCACTGAACTAAACATAGATTAAATACATTTTCTAAAGACACACCCCAAAGTGATGGCGTTCCTAGCATTGTCAGTGTCACTGTTCAAAGTTTTTACGAGTGGAGCGTTCACTTGGGCCGTGAGCAACTGAGAGGAGCACACTTACTGTACGTAAAGCGTATACTCTGGTAATTACAGGTCATCAGTAAACAATGTCCATTAGGACTTTTAATCCAAAAGTGTGGACAAGAGATTGTAAGACCTGAAGTCGGTGTGTCCGATAAGGCTGACATATAAAATGTGCTGTGCTGGGGTTGCTCCAAGACCAGTTTGAAAAACCACTAAATTTCACGATTTCCACTTCGGTTTTAGACACACACTCACAAACTTACATAATTTCTCCATTGCCATTTTGAAGTACCTTCCACTTTAAGTGGATGAGAGAAGTTTATAATGATGGAGCCCCTCGATTTTGAGTAAGGGAGCAAGTCTACTTCATATGTACACTTCAGGCAGCTCCATATACCACAATGCAACTCGAATGTGACATCACCGCAGATTGTGTTTAATTTAACAACTCTATGATATATTAATTATTTTTAAAATGTTTAAAACACCCACAACATACTTATATACATACAAAATGCTGCATCAAGCAGATTTGTAAGGGAGAATATGTAAATAATAAATTAACTCCATAACTAGGGTAGGGTACCGTTTTTTTTTTTTTTTCGATACCGGTGCCAAATCGATACTTTTAAAACGGTTCTGATGCCTAAACGGTGCCTGAACCGGTACTTATTTAAAAATGATAAATAAATAAAAATTCCCCCAAAAATTATGGATTGGTCATTAGCACTATAAACACATGATGTCTGTTTCATTCATACTGGATGCCAGAGGGCGCCCTCACACAGAAAATCTACATATCCAGTCACAGAAGTAGCGGAACTCATGACCCTCCAGTAAATCCCTTATATGGACAAAGGCATCGCAATTATAGCTGTAACTGAGTAAACAGAACATATAAATGGTTTGAATGATAAAACAAAGACAATAAACACTCGACTGCGACAATATAGTTTATCTGTGTTATTCAAGCCATCTCTGTTATTTTCATAATAAGTATATTTATAATCCATTGCTAATCGATGTATTCTTTTTAAAGTAGCCTATGGAACATATTTTCTGCCTCATTCTGTGACAAGAAGCCACATCAGATCACAAAAGGAAGCATTTCACTGGTGTTGTTGAGTAAAAAGGTTATCTTGTTCTCTTTTGTTGGAAAACAGGTTTAGAAATGTGAATATAAGGGAAGTTTAGCTTTAGGCATTTTAATTTAAGCATGTTTAGCTTAGTTAACGGAAGGCTACCTGCTGCCATCAGAGCAAGTGTAATTACTGCATTGACACGCTCCTCAGATGCTCTCATTTCCCGAGTTGTGCTTTTAAGTCGGAATGTGCAACATGGACACTCTTGTTACTACAAAGATTTGTTGGATTTGTATTATTAGAGCTTTCCGACTTGAGTTCACGTGCATTTTCTCAGTCAGGAAATTATTTTTCACGTGCGGTGCCAGTGATGATGCTTCTTACATCCGTTTCGGAGAACCAGAGGACAAATATTTCAATCAATCGCTCAGGCATGGCATCGAAATCTTTGTTCTGATTCGGTTCTAGTACCGGTTACATAGGTACCGGTGCCATATTGGTACCGGGTTTCGGTACCCAACCCTATCCATAACAGATTCCAAGTGATAATGGGCTTAGGAATTTCCAATTGAGCCCATTGCAAATGTTCTGCCAGTATCACATTGCAGTTTTATACTTGGCAATATTTTAAAAAGCATCTTTATTTTTGGGTCTGTTGGTGGAGTAGCATCACCAGTGGGGATATTTTTTAACCCCACCAGCAATGAAAAATAATTCAGCACAGGGATATGTAGCAGGCATGTGTAGACTGGAGAGTGGGAAATCCCTGAACAATGAGACATGTATGTCTCATGTACCTGTTTTCTTATTCCTGGATAAATAGTTGTGAATCTTTTAACAGTGGAAAATTATTTAGTGCTTTAGTAATTAGTTTATACTGTGTCTACTCCAGAGATGTTCACAAGTCTTTAACTTGGAGTCCGAGTCAAGTCTGAAGTCTTTGTCGCTGGAGTCTGAGTCAAGTCTCGAGTCTTTGGTCACGAGTCCGAGTCAAGTTTCAAGTCATTTAATGGCTCACTAAAAAAATCCCATTCATAATCCTCATGTATTGAAATCTTCCTATTTACGAAGCAGTTTTATAGGCTATAGACAAAATGTATGATCTATGATCTGCTTTGTAAAAAAAAGAGGTGTTAAGATATAAGGTTAATGTACATCCAGCCTGTTACTTATGTTTTAATCCATTACCATGTTCAAAACAGTTTTTCTGTAATCAAATTCTATAATAAGAGTCCGATCTACCATGACACATAAGGAAATAATTTGACACAGATATTACAAAACCATACAAATAAAGTATTTCTTTATGATATAAGTCAGGGGTATTCAGTTAAAGTTCCAAGAGTAGAGGTCGACCGATTGATCGGCCGGCCGATTAATCAGCGGATTTTTGGCATTTTTTAATTAATCGGCATTGGCCGATTGTGCTGCAAATTAGGCCGATTTATAGGCAGGCGCATCTGCGGGCAGCTATGCGTTGTTGCGGAACGCTGGAGAATCTCTCTCTGGCTGCGTGAGAGACGGAGCAACTCACACTCTGCAGCCGCTTCTTGTTCACACACAGCTTCAGCTAATGATTGCAGGGTAAAACAGACCATTTCGAAAGCGTAATTACGTTTTACCCTACTAGATATATATTATCAATATATATATATTATGTTCTTAACCTACAGATTAATAATGCTAAATGTAGATCAGAAACGTCTTGTCACATCTGGTTTAAATAGTCAGAGTCATAGGTTGTAGATAGATAAATAGTAAGAAAAATAACTATATTTGCAGCATTGTTGTTTTCTGCTGTGTTTAAGTGAAAGTAATCTATAATTTTCTGTTTCTGTTGTTGCTAAAATAACCGCGTCATCCGCAGCTCTTGAACTTGGTTGAACTCTAGAGAGAGATAAAGAAAGCGCTCGGAGCTGAAAGGGCTTGAATAAAGCCCTATATAGCGCTGAAAGATATTTACCATAAACGACCCTGAGCACTTATGTGATGTGTTTTGACGCGCTGTTAAAGACTCGAGTTGCTTTTAAAATATTCACGAATCCTTTTCCTCGAGTCGAGTCAAGTCTGGAATCATTTCAGTTCGAGTCCGAAGTCAAGTCTGAAGTCTATAAAAATGCGACTCGAGTCCGAGTCACTAACTCCCCAGTCAACAATTTGATCTCACAATAATGTCACCATGAGCTCACATGATTCTCATGGTGTGGTCACAATGTGTGTGTCACAGTGAGCTAAAAGTGTAACCACACAGCGCACTCACTGTGTGCTCATACTATGTTCGCAATGTGAGGTCACTGCACACTCACTGTGTGCTCATACTGTGGTCGCAATGTGAGGTTACTGCACACTCACTGTGCGCTCATACTGTGGTCAATGTGAGGTCACAGCACACTCACTGTGTGCTCATACTGTGGTCGCGAGGATCGTGTGAACTCACAATGATTTCATATACTACTCACACGCTGAGGATTACAGTATGAGGATCGTTTGAACTCGCAATGATTTCATATACTACTCACACGGTGAGGATCACAGTATGAGAATCGTGTGATGTCACTGTGATCATCGCATGATCTCACGTGTTGACTGGGTTGAGTGCCCATCTACTCTGCAAAAAAAAAAAGGTCCAAAACTAAGTTACTCTAATTCACAATTTAACCTTCATATTATACCTCTTCAGCCTGATTATAAATAACCACATGATAATTATGTAATATAATAATATCTTGTTAAGTAATGCATGGTAACTAAAGTTAGCCTAGTGCTACATCATAATTGTTGGTGCGTGTATTTTATAATGTGTGATGTCTCATGTCAAGTTGAGTCTCATTTATTTCCCTTCTTTGTCTTTTTCCTTTCTCCTGTCTTCCTCAGGTATAACATGTTTATTGTCATGTACCCCTTGGGAGTAATCGGAGAACTGCTGACCATACATGCCTCCTTACCGTATGTGCGGAGATCTGGCATGTATTCCCTGAGGCTCCCCAACAAATACAATGTGTCCTTTGACTATTACTACTTCTTGATCATCGTCATGCTGTCCTACATCCCGTGTAAGAACTCACAATAAAACGTCTACTTGCATGCTACAATTTCCTCATTGGGGTTGCCACGTTTCTGTCACAAGACCAGCCGAATCAGTCTTTATCATGTTAACCCTGCTACTGTTGGAATAAATTGATCATGACTGACTGCTAATAAGCCGGGTTTCCGTCCAAAGTTGCGAATTTAACTAATGCGCAAAATTGGAATATCGCATAAAACATTTGCGTACAAGCACTGTTTCCATCCAACTAGTCAGAGAGAACAAAATCGTCACTTCCTTATAAACTGGCACTAAATATCACTAAGAAAAGTAAGAGAAGCCACTGAATATAATAACTCTCAAATATAATAAATTACTTGCGCTTTGAGTGAGCAGACGAAACACAATAAATG